AACGAAAATCCGCCGCACACGTGAGTAAAATGACGCATGCGTCAAATTACTCAACGAAAATCCGCCGCACACGTGAGTAAAATGACTCATGCGTCATTTTACTTGAGTAAAATAACTCACGTGTGCGCCGGTCACGTGTGCGCCGGTTAATTCATGAAACATCAATCATAATAATCATAAAATTCAGTGCTAATATCATGAGCGTGCTGTTGTGAAATCTCTGCATATAATCCTATTTGCGTAATTTCAATGGAAAATGGTTTTCGCGTGAAATGAATAATCGGATATTATTCTGCGGAGAGATACGGAGTTGGCCGTACAAGTAATTTACCCTATCCGCGTGCAATGACAGTAAACTTTGCAGTTTTGCCGTGCATGTGATAACGCTGACATTGCGGACAAAACGCCATCTGTTGCTATTTCAAAATTATCAAAAGTATTGAGTTTTTGCTTAGCAAAAGAGGATATAAAACGTTACTACTATCGATCAATCGCATTGTTCTCGAACGACTCTATATGGTCGATTTTTCATGAATGACATGACAGCAGATGTGCCTATTGTGTATTTGTTTGGTTGTAATTCCTGGAATTGGCTAGAATGTTGCAGACATCTATGCTTCTACGCTAACTCATGTGTTATCGTTTAGGTAAGCGTGAGGCACCCACGGAAGATGACGTGGCCAATGCACTAAGTACGGGCTTTAAATTCTGTTTTAGGTGTAGTATAAAAGTCAAACATTTTTAGAGAAGTGTTTATCGAAGTTTATTAGTTTAGTGTTATTGGTTTAGGATGGTATAATATGGTAAGTACACTTAATCAAAACCAAAATGCTATTTTGGGTATGAAAATTATGACAAAAAACTGGTGCCAAAAACTAATAAAACATAAAAAGTTCAAAATATTTAATGGCATCACACCTTGACATAAAATTCATGATCATATATATATATATATATATATACATATATATATGCATAATTATATACGTATAATATAGTGATTATCTGTTGGTCCGGGATTTTCATCACCATGAATTTTATGTTAAGTAATGCACATCAATATTGTGAACGTATATTATATCATCATTTTCATACCCAAAATGGCATTTTGGTTTTGATGTATACATTTAATATATATATATATATTTATATATATATATATATATATATATATATATATATATATATTATATATACATATATCATGTCACATGTAATTTCACATAAAATCAACTGATTACTCTAATCAGTTGATTACTCCAATGTACCCTTTTTATCATTGTAACTCCATGCATACTGATCGTTTGTTGAATAAACTAGCCTTATAGGCAATAGTGGTCTGTATGCATAAATAAACTATTATTTTCTTG